GGGGTGGGGGGTGGGGGGTGGGGGGTGGGGTGGGTTGCAGTTAGCAATCAGACAGTGCAGACTAGTCGTAGCGATGGCCTCCAACCTACTAGCTCTGACACGCGTTCCGAAGCGATACCGTTCCCGCGTTCCGAAGCGAACTATTTTCTGCGTTCCGAAGCGACTCCCTCGCCCCAGGAAAAAACACATGAAACGAGTGTGAGTGAGGGACACAAAACATACAGTACCACCCAAAAAGAGAGGAAATCACTTCTGTTGGCCCATCCTGAGCACTTCACTGTCCTGGACAAACGCCACATGAAGCTTTGCGATGCACTCTGTACGTTGAAGCGCGTTAAGCCATCGTCCTGACCACGCTTTGACTGAATGGTGGAATGTGCCACGCGTTTAGAAGCTTCTTGCTACAAATGCCGTCCATCAATGCCATGGGTGACTTGTCCGGGAAAATTTCCTTCTGGCTTTCTGGCATTGCCCATACGAGTCATTGAACAAGTACAGAAAACACACCTGGTACAGAAGTGAGCTTGGCACATGGAGCAAGGACGTCTCCTCCATCGCCCAACTGCAAATGGACGCATCGGAGACGCCTAAAGAACGCTTGATGCTCTGCCAGTCAGAGGGGTTGACCGAGTAGGCTTCTGCCGGCTCGAAAACCAAGGGGAGTTTCGGGACAAGCCTCCAAGGTGGTTTAACAAAAAAGGCGCTTGTCAATAATAGGTGCTGACTGTGTATTGTACTGATTCTCTATCTGGTGGCTCAGGATCAATGTCCAGACATGTCGAGACTAAAACTCCAAACCCGAAGGATGGCCACCCATCTGCTGCACACATGAATACCTTTAGGCTTCATGGCTTCATCATCACTTGGGTACGTGCCCGCTAAATTGCTTCGAAGACTAGAATCAGAAGACTGATAAAGACTAAGCGGCTACTGTAGTTCCTCGTGTCATGAGCTTGTGGAGTTTCCCTTTACCCGCTCGACTGCCAACGGCCTTCGGCGCTAGGATAAATGGGAACGTTGAGCACCTGCCGTTGGAGCACATGGCAACTCACCAAGCTGACGCAGGTGACCAACCAACGAAACACTCTCAATAACAAACAATGTCAAAGTCATTGAACAATAGGAATTGTGATGAAAGGTGAATGGAGAAAAGTAATGCGGCCATATGCGGCCCATATGGCCTATCTCGATGATACATAATTTTCCAACAACCCCAAAACAACCGAAAATACTAGGAGCAAGGACACTACTAGGGGCTCCAAGTATGTACCAAACACACGCGGACCAAAGCCATGGCTCGGCCTGAACTGGATTTGAAGATACACCAGAGTAGTTGAAGAGGGACTGGGAGTCAGAGTCTAAGGCCAAGTGAGTCGACAAAAAGAGCAAGACCTTGGATGGCAGAACCAAGAAAATAGTACACAAAAGGTAAAAAAAATAGTTTTCAGATATTGTATTATTCTTTTATTCTTTC